AGAGAGAAAAATACATTTTGAAGAAAATAGCTACCAAACGGGCTCTTAATATTCCACTTCCACCGTTTAATTTTAACATTCCACACTTGAACACTATATTGATTTTGAACAAATTCTCAACAACTACTACTCTTTTTGTCCATGTTGAGTAATGATAACTCATGTAGACAGTGGACCCCAATCATTGATTTGTTTAGTCGTGTCTATTTAAGTTATTGGTGTGCCTATTTCATGAATTGTGTGGACAATGCTTGGGGAAGGACAGTGGAGAAAAAATGCTTGTCAAGTGTGTAAGTTTTTATGAAGTAGTTTGAACCTGTTAAGTGATAATCTGTTCCTAGAAAATATATCAATTTTTTGTCTTTGTTTTAGTTGTCAATGTTATTTATGATGTAAGAATGAGTGTGTTGAGGGAAAAGAATATATTATTTGCATGCATCTTATATTCTGAATTGATTTATAGTCTTGGGATCATTAACATCAGATTTACAACATCTGGTTGGGCCATTAAACTGTGTGCTGCCAATGGACTTATGCTACATATTGAATCTTGAATTTCTTGGCCCATACTTGAAATTCCTTCAACTTTTGCCATGTCAAACATATTTATATTGTGCTTACTTCTTAATATTGCTTAAAAGCACATCAAATTCTTGGCCCATACTTGGTATTCAACACGGCCTCACGTATATTTTAATTAGATTTGTAGATTCTTTTAATTAGATTTGCAGATTAACTGGGTTGATGGTATTCCATTTGTCATTTTACCTGATTCTGGGTTTTCTGGCTAGGAAAGCTAAAACAATGAACCGTACATGATCGCTAGACAAGCCACTTGCAACATCATTTTTGATATATCTTGTGTCACTTGTGTCACCACTTGACTCTTATCTTGTGTCACCACTTGTCTTCTTATCTTTCTTATGAACATCTTCACTGCTGAACTTATATCTTGGTTTACTAGTTGAAAATGCCACTTTTGTCATCATTTTCGATATAATACAGCTTATTAGTTGTGTATTTACATGGTCTGGAGAATTTTAATGCTCAGTTTGGCATTTAATTATATGAACTGCAAGGGAAGGTGTTTCGCAACTTGAGATGCTTTGAACTTTATTTATAGGTTGATTTCTAGTCTTCCTGAAAAACTATAAATTGCCAGAGATTGTTATAGTCCACATTAAGGTTGGCTCCCAAGGATGGACTTCATGTTGTTACTCTTATTTACTTAACCATGTTGTCAGTTCATGTAAGATATCATGTTCAAAATTGATTTAACCAAGTATTCTCGTACTGTTTTGGTAACAAATTTCTTTCCTTTATTGATCTCATTGTTCCTTTTTTAATGTTCATAGAGATGTCACAAAAAAGAAAGTTGAAGCATGTGTCACCTACTATTCATCCAAACTGCAGCAAATGGAAGCCCATCTCCAGATGGGCAAGGACAACGCTCTAATCAATTACACATTCATGTCTCAACACCCTTTACTGCTCAATTTGATATAAATAGGTTTACAACTCAATCTAGGTTGAAGTCACAATTTATTTTTTTGTGGTAAAATACTAGACATTTTGGGTTTTGTATTGACTATTAGTACTTGTTATATGTGCAATACAATCTTGTTCCTGTAGCGAAATGCTTCTTATTAATTTTAATTTTTTCTAATTCTTAAAATAGTTAATTTCAACTGTGTTGAAAACTGAAACAAAATATTAGCGGGAACAAATAATATTGGTTATTAAAATATTAATGTTCACCGACCAAAGATTGGTTGCAAATGAGTGTAAATTAATCAGTTTTAAAATATTATTAGATGCCAAATTGGTTTCCGACCACAGTTTGGTTGCTAGATGTTTTATATTAGCTTGAAACTTTTACTGACCACGGATTGGTCGTTGCACGACGCATCCAGCGACCACAGACACTTGGTTGCTGAATTTCTTATATTAGCAACCAACAGTTGGTCGCTGTCCAATATAGTGACCACGTTGAGTTTGTCGCAGGATGAAGCAGCCAATTGACCAGTTACCATGATTGAACCTTTTACCAACCAACTATTGGTCGCTGTACAATATATATATAGCGACCACGATATTGGTCGTTGGTGGTCAACCTTTTACTGACCAACGACTGGTCGCTGTAAGATATATGCAGTGACAACGACTTTTCATCATCTTTTAGCGACCAACCATTGGTCGTTGTAAGTTTATGTCCAGCGAGCATGACTTTATTGGTCACTGAAGAACTTCACCGATAGTCTATTACCGACCAGTTAGTGACCACGACTTTTTGGTCGCTGGAACCCATTTTTTTGTAGTGAGGTTTTATTGGTTAAAATTCAGAAGTATACCATATTGCTTTATAATTCAAATTAATGATAACACGAGATAGGATTAAAACAAAGATAAAATGCATTGTATATAATATAAAACTACTTTGCAAAATTATAAACAATACACGTGTACACCAATAGAAGAAAACTGATTTTTCTATAGTGGATTTCGCATGGAAAGGTAGAAGTTGGATATTATTAAATCCTTTCCAAATTGAAGATAATCATGATTATATAAAGGGTAATTATATTACCACTACAAATTTTATTTACACCACAATTTTCTTATTTACTTAAATATCCCTAAGTAAAATTATATAATTAGAATTCTAGTATATTTTTTAATTAAATAAATTATAGTTA